TATCCAGCAAGTTTTTACGCAGCGGATGCCCTTCCAGCTGCAACCCATCTCTGGGAAAGCCGGCACCAGTTATTGTTAATATTCTTCTTCTTCTTATTATTATTATTATTTATTTATTACAATTAAATTGTTTAAATCGTTTAATTAGGTGTTTAGTGGTTTGTTCTGTAGCAAATCGAAAAAACTAAATCATAATATCAAATATTATCGTAAAACATTTGCTGGATAAGTTGGCGGTTCATTCAACCCCAGATTAATAAAGGGACTAAGCCGAAAAGAAAATGAATGAAAAAGTAGTTAGCAGTTATTTTTTGTATTACAGCCAAATTAAAAGAAATAAGACTGTCTCCAGAAGAAAAATATTATAGGAAATACTGTGGAAAACATCCTGGTTTTGTTAAACATCACTTGGGAAAATATAAAAAAAAAAAAAAAAAATGTATATAAATTTTTTTACAGGATGGCTAATAATTTAGCCTTTAACATGTTGATGCTCAACAACAGAGTTTCTCAACTGGTGGGTCGCGGGGACATTTTCAGTGGGTCGCGGAGTGTGTGGTCAAAAAAAACAACAAGTTTCATTTTTAACTTATTTTGCTTATACCAGACTTTTATTTTGAAATGCGCGCTACCATTTGACACGTGAAATTTCATTTAAATATAGTAATAAATATGCACAATGTAAAGTATAGATTTACATATATTAAAAAAAAAAAAAAAGACTTAAAGTCTCAGTGTGCCATATGTAGTGAGGTGCTCTCACAAGAGAGCATGAAACCTTCTAAACAAAAATTTTAGTTTACATTTAGAAACCAGACAATAATAGGCTTTATTAACAGTTCAGTTAAGTTCATGGAAACTGGACCTTTCCTTACCCTGACCACTGTTTACAGTATTTGTGGTTTTTATTTTGTAATACTTCTATAATTTGATACATTTTGTAATGACAGCAGAAAAAAACTGTTTATTTGCAAGTCTTGGTAGCTTTCTCATGATTTATCTGTCACCACTTGTGTATGTTAACAAATAAATACAAATGAATTATAATTCCTAAATTCATATTTTAGTTCCTAAAAATGTGGGTCACGGCTTGATGACCATGTAAAAATGTGGGTCCCATGGCCAAACCAGTTGAGAACCACTGCACTACAACAATAAATAAATAAATAAATAAATAAATAATTTAATAAATAAATTAATTATTTAATAAATAAATAAATAAATAAATAATTTAATAAATAAATAAATAAATAAATAAATAAATAAATAAATTAATTAATTAATTAATTAATTAATTAAAAGTGATTTACTGTAATCTGGGAAATGCGGGACACTTATTTTGCTCCATCAATAGCAAATCTGTTAACATTGACGTATTTAAACAGGCCTCGTTTCTTGGTTTGAATCCTTACAGCTGAAACCTGTAATTTATAATGCATTTTAAAATTATACATCTAATAAATACTGCAAATCACTCCAATTTGCCTTCGATTCTACATTACAATATATTAATTCAGGACAACAATTCAAAGAGTGAATGAGAAAGCATACAGTATATCACTGGAGTCGCTCAAGCTGGTAAACAGTGGGACAACGTAATCATTTTTGTGAATTTCACCTCAAAACTGCAGTGGCATTCAGACATGTATAGCTGCATGTGCACAGGAGCTTCAATAATAAAGCAGTTCTGGATGGAAAAAACACTGAAGATCTGCAGTCTTTCTCCCAACCACGAGGAGGCAACACACACTCACAAAACACACACACTGGCTCTGTTCCAAGCACAGATATTAGCAGCATTTCAAATATGCCAACTGCATTATTGCGCAAGCTAAACATTTCTTCCGTATTGTCATAGCTTTCAAAGTGAAAGTGGAGAGGGTGGAGACGGGATTTTATCAATTTGGAATTGACTGAACTGGTTTTTATAGACTGTGCTGCATTCCAGAAAGCAGATGAAGCAAATGAGAGGTTCCTAAAACAACACACAAGCAGTTATTTGGCTGTTATTGAGATTATTCAATAAGCATGCACCGACGCCAGCAGAAAAACAAAGTCACTTTCAGAGGAAGTAAAGAATGCAAATGGATAGATGTTGTGTTATGCTGTAATAATAAAAAAATACTTCATACATTATGCAATTCGGATTGTGCCTCACACCGGTGAGTGGGCTTAATAAACCACCTGTAGAAAACACACTCTTCAATTTCTCTGACACTTTAATAGACACTTGCACCATTTTTGCACCAGACACTTTCTTACAATCACTCCATATCTCTTAAAAAACAAGGTTGCCTCACACAGGTGAGTGGGCTTGACATACCACCTGGAGAAACACTCTTCATTCATTCATTCATTCATTCGCTTTTCAGGTTAGTCCCTTTATTCATAAGGGGATGTCACAGCGGAATGAACCACCAACTTATCCAGCATATGTTTTACGCAGCCGATGCCCTTCCAGCCGCAACCCAACACCGGGAAACACCCATACACTCTTACATTCACACTCATACACTACGGCTAATTTAGTTAATTCCCATATAGCGCATGTGCTTGGACTGTGAGGGAAACCAGAGCACCCGAGCAAACATGGGGAGAACATGCAAACTCCACATAGAAATAACAACTGACCCAACGGGGCTTGAACCAGCAACCTTCTTGCTGTGAGGCGATTGTGCTACCCACTGCACCGCTGTGACGCCCCAGAAATACTCCTCTCTCTAAAAAAAAGGCAACATGGTGCAAGTTCTGATGGTGGGAAAATCATATGTTTTAAATCTATTAAAACTGATCAACATGTGTAAAAGTGGGAACCTTAAATTAAACATTTCCACAGAGCATTAAGTTAAGGTTATCTTGTTGTCAAATTTGTTGTAGAAACTATGCAGAAGCCTATTTTATGTAATTTAATGCAATAACATCTGAAATAACTTCAAAAATAAAGCCAATTCCCCACTTTTTCAAGTGAAAAGTCAATAAACGTCACACATTACGTCACTTATTTTATTATACTTAAATATTTTCGATGTAAAATTACGCATTAACTTCCCATGCTAACTGTCTCTGTTTTACTAACACAGTGGTGTTGCTTTTTTAAACATATGCTCATGTTTGTTATAACTTTGCATGAACGCATCAAGATCAGCTGGAGAAAGAAATGCTGATCTCTTTTTTTCGGATGTTGCCATGGTCACTCGTTATATCTGTGCTCAGAGCCGGCCCAAGGCATAAACGAACTAAGCGACTGCTTAGGGCCCAGTGGCCAGTAGGGGGCCTCAAAGAGTGCATCAAATGACTGAGTGACTTTCGTTTTTGTTAATTTGTTGTGTTGTGGATTAGGGGACAAATATATGCCCATTTATTGTTATTTCCGACCACTATACATACAATGGCGCCAAGACATTTATCTAAATTTACAAGAGATCTGAAAATGCTTCCTGGTTTAATTTTTATATAATTTAAATAGATGTTTTAAGTTATTTAAACTACAAAATACAATATAATTTTTTTTTCAGTGTTAACATTTATATCCTTAAAAAAAAAATCTTTATTGTTACTATGTTTGACTGTTTGGCAGCGTCTTGTGACTGACTAATAATAATATTAATATTATTATTATTATTAATATTATTACTTAATAAAAAAAAAAAAATAACAACAACAACAACAACAATAATAATAATAATAATATTATTAATCAATAGGAAGCTGTTTCTGCAGAATAATATTTAGAAATGTCTTAAAACATTCTATGATGTGAGCAACACATCTTAAAATATTTTCAAATGTGTGAATAATCAAGGATTGACAATAATTTGTCATATTGTTTGCACCAAGGGGGTCCCAAATAAAATCCTGCTTAGGGCCCCCTGAAGGCTTGGGCCGGCCCTGCTGCGCTACATTGATGATGCCTTTTTATAGTCGCGGTGT